GAAAAATAAGAACCAAGAGAGATTATGTAAAGGTGCAAATTTCCAAAGATGAATGTCATTATATTGTATACCTAAAATGTACCAAAGAATAAAATGAATAATTGATAATATGAAATAGGAAGAAAAGGTCCAAAGGGGTAGGGGAAGTGGGAGGGGCAGGGGAAAGGAAAGAAGGGAAAGGAAAAATTACGAGAAATGGAAAAAATGGAAACAATATCTTTGTAAATAGGGAAGGGAGGAAGAGTGAAGGGAGGGCTAGGAATGGGGAAAAAATAACCAAGATTTGTCATGTAAAGTTACCAGTTACCAATGAGAAATGTAAATGTATTGTACACTTAAATGTACCAATAAAAGAATTTAAAAACAAAAACAAAAAAACCCAAAGTGATAATAACCTGGAGGCTGTTTGGTTTGTTCTCAGTGTCCGGATGCCAGCCACTCAGAACAGCCCACATGGAAGCTTCCTGTTGTCCCTGCCCTGGGGAGGACAGGGTGATAACCTGAGTCTCTGCTTCGAGGCTGTTGCTCTAGCTCCTGCCCAATGGTGGGATTATTCATTCAACAATCATGCAGACTTCTCTGGGCCTGGCCAGAGGACAGAAGACAGACTGAGACAGTGTGGTCCCAGGGCTGGGAGGGCCTACAGGCTAGAATATGAGGAGCTGCCCAGCCTTCAGACCACAGGATGAGCTTGATGAGGAGATGGGGGCAGGACAGAGGCACTGTCCCCCTAAAGGCAGAAGGATGGACCAGCAGGCTTCTCAGAGAGCACCACAGCAGGGCGTGCGGTCATGGCGGGTGGGAGTGCAAGCAAAAGTTTCTGCAAGAACACAGGCCCTGCAGCCTCAGTCTCTGCTGCCCAAGAGTGTGAACAAACAGGAAGCTGGCCCCAAGCCGCCATGTCTGAGTTCCAAGAGTGACAAGGCTGAGACCGGAGCTTGCAGAGATTTGAAAACCTTGTGAAAATATGTGTTCCAAGATTTGTGTACTGACATTGCTCAGGGTGATGGGATTAGGGGACAGGGGGCTGGGAAGGGGTGAGGATGTACGGTGGAGCTCTCATGACTGGATTAGAGCTCCCCTAAAAGACCCTGAGAGCCAGCTACAGACACCAAGGTGGATTGAGAAGTCTCAGTTCCCAGCTGCTGCTCTGCCCTCAGTAGAAGACCAGCACCTGGGCTAGAAGAACAACAGAGGTGACCTGTCCATGAGGGGGCTCTGGCTGAAAACGATAAACTGTGTGACTTATGAGCAGCAGCTCTGGGCCTGGAAAGCACGAGGTGCTGCACACAAGCCGGGGCTTGGTGACGGCTGCTCTCTGTTACAGGGATGGCGCTTTCCGATTGGCCCTCACATGGCAGAGGAAAGGGCAGCTTTGGGATCTGTTACATCCAGGCACTAGTCCTGTTCCTGAGCACCCACCCCGTGACCTAAGCACCATGAAGGCCTTTCCTACACCATCACCTTGGTGACTGGGCATCAGCACAGGAGTTTGGGGGACACAAACACTAAAACTTCAGCAGGGGCAGTGCTGGTAGCTGTCATTTGTTGAGCACACACTGTGTGCCAGGCTCATTTTAACCCCTCTACAGGAATCAGGTTTTAAACCAGTTCAACACTGACAGGGAATTACTATTACTAACCCCACTTGACAGGAGAAACTGAGGTAGACAGATTAAGCAATTTAGCTGAGATGACAGCCAAGGGTAGATGGGATGACCAGAATTCCAATCCAGAGTCTGGCCCCTGTCACCCAGAATAAACAGCAGGTGCAGATGGAAAAGCATATTCAGGAATCACTGGGGAAGAACAGTCTGTGAGATGCCAGGCCAGTGGCAGGGGTGGGAGGGGGAGGCTCAGAACTCTAGGCAGCACTGAATGTGTAGCACAGAGCCCTTTGCTTGGAATTTATTAAGAATTTAAAATGATAGCTAGGTGTGATGGCTCCACACCTATAATACCAGAACTCAGGAGGCTAAAACAGGAGGAACACCACAAGTTTGAGGTCAACCTGGGTTACATAGTGAATTCAAGGCCAGCCTGGACTTCATAGCAAGACTGTCTCAGAAAGAAGAAGGAGGGGCTGGGGATTTAGCTCAGTGGTTTCACTGCCTGCTGTGCAAGCACTAGGACCCACATTTGATCCCTGGTACAAAAAAAAAAAAAAAGAGGAGGAAGAAGAGGAAAAGGAAAAGGAGAAAGAAGAGAAAGAAGATGTAGGAGGAGAAGAAAAAGGAGAATTTAAGATGGTGATAGAATATTAGAACAGATGATGTGGAGTGCTTGGAATAACTTCCAAGGCTTGGTCATGAAAGGCAATGAGGCATCCACCTGGCAACCTGGGGACCTGTGCCTTTGCAGCCCTGAGTGGCTCTGAGAGAAGGGTGGTGGCCTGAAGTCACCATGTTGGAGACACCACCTGAACAGACCAGGGATGCCCAGGTATGACAGATGAGGGAAGAAGCCTTTGGGATGACCCCAAGTTGGCCTCCATCTTGATGGCAACATCACCAGAGACCCAGGCAGAACTTCCTAGCTGGGCTGCTCCAAATGCTTGGCCCCTAGAAGCCCTGAGTATTTCCTATGAAGCCACTAAACATTGGGGAAACCTTTCAGCAGCCATAATAACTGTAGCAAAGAAGGGAGGAGGGGCCAGGGTGTGAGAATAGCAGTGTTCTGGACAGAGCATCACATGCAAAGGCCCTGAGGTCAGGGTAGTGCTGAGATGAAAGTGTAGGGCCGACACAGAGGCTTTCCAGCCCAGTGTACCCATGAGGCACAAGACTTTGCTTTTGGTCCTGCCTGTGTCCTTCCTGCCCAAGAGAATCCTGGTCCTTTTCTGTGGATTGAGCAATTTGTGCAACTCTGGGCTCCACATTGATTTCGCAAAGTCTGTGCAGGGAAGGAAGTTACATTCCATTCATTCACCCATTCATTCATGGATGCATTTACCCATCAGCAAGTTTGAATGCATCCCCTGTACTGGGAGCTTACCATTGTCATCTGGGTGCCACAGCAAGACCTCCATGCCCACTCCAAGGTGTGAATTCTATCTCCAGTGCCCAGACACAGAGATGAGGCCAAGAGGGCCAGGCCCTTGCTCACTGCCAGGACAGGGAGTGGGAGGCAGCGGGGCATCCGGAGTGGCTGAGCCTCCTTCTCTCTCCAATTCCTGGTCAAGCCCTCCCAGGCTGTGTGACCTTGGGCAAATCCTTCCACTGCTCTGAGTAAGGTTCAGTTTTGTCTTTTGTACAACAGGGTCCTATCTGCAGTGAAGGAAATGAGCAGGGCTGGGAGCTCTGTAAGGCCTGGAAAACATGATTGGAATCAACAGCAGCTCCTCTTCCAGCCACAGTCCTGTACCTGGCACAGTGTCCTCTCTCCCCTGATGAAGCCCTGGCTTCCTGCTGTCCCCAAGTAGCCTGGCCCATTCAAAACTTCATCAGGATTAAGGAAATCAAAAGGAAAGAGACAATAGCAAGTGGTAGTGTTGTAGTCAGAGTTTTGGCAAGGGAATACATTAAATATAGGACACATAATTTATAGGATTATTTTATGATAACTACTCAAAAAGTCAAATACCAAGGAGTGCAAGTGATTAACTTCACATTAAAGGCCCAAAGAATCCAGCCAAGGGCCTGGATCCCAGCAACATCCCACACAAGTCCAGCTAAAGGCTTACAGTCCAAGGTAATGTCCTCCACGAGTCCAGCCAGTTGTCTAGGTCCCACAGCATTGTCTCATCTTGTCCGTATTGAGGATCTGCACCTGGAAGGCCTAAAGGTGGAAGCCAGAAAACCTACACTAGTGAGATGAAGGATTTGTGGCACCAAGCTGAGGGATCCACACTGGAGCCAGGAAGTGATGCTTAAGGTGAAGATCAGAGCTCCCCTGAAAAAAACAGCAGCCATTCCCAACAACAGCTAGGCCTCAAGCTCCTCCTCTAACAAGAACAGCCTAGTTCAAATCAGGAAAACCATCTGCACAAAGCTTCTCCTAGAAAATCAATAGGCCACGATTCTCCCCCTCCTCTCTTTTTATAGCTATTGGTAACAATGCTCAGGTGAATCCTTCATGCCCAGACCACACTGATTCAGTTCAGCTGGGCGTTACAAGTTGACCATTAGTTAATCCACCACAGATAGTCAGCCCGGGCTCCCAGAGAAAGAGCAGGGAGAGAGGTGCCACAGTCTCAAGGAGCAAGCCCTGTCCTAATGGGGTTTGCATTCCGTGGGCTGGGGGAGGGAGACACAATCATGAACAGAGAATATTCACTCCGTGTTCACCAGGTGCCCCCACTGCCTTACCTCAATTAATGCTCCTCCCCTACAAGGTGGGAGGGGTTATTTTCTCATTCAAGAAGGAACCAAGGAGAGAGTGCATGACTTGCCCAAAGTCACACAGCTGGTAGGAGCCACATGTTGAAGAGCAAACTGGAAATCCCTCAGTCCCCATGCTGAGGATTCACCTGCAGTCCTCAGGTAAGACACAAGGGCTCCCCAGGTTTACAGATTAGGAGTGGAGGCCCAGTGAGGTCTCCTGGCCCCCAGTAGGGAGCAGGATTTAAGACCAGGGCCTCTGACTTCAGGGTCAGAGCCTGACCAAGATCCTGGTGCACTCCAAACTCTCCTTCCCATGTCCCGTCACCGTAGTCCAGCCTGCAGACAACCTATCCCAGGACATGACGACTTCTCATCATTCTCACTGCAACCTGGCCAGGACCATTCCAGGGCACAAGGCACCTCCCAGCCCTCAGGGAGAAGTAGGGATAGGAACCAGCTCCCCACTGGTGCACCTAGCTAGTTCTCTGAGTCTCTAGAAACACATGGCAGGGCTATCTCTCCATAGCCTCCCTGCTCCCTGCTCACTGGAGGTCACTTGCCCTTGTCCCAAGCTAACACGGAACCCAACGGGAATATGGAGAGGGTGAGAAGGAGGAACTTGGGAGCTAACACTTAACAACCTGGCCTTGAGAGGCAGGGCTGGGAGGGGAGACAGAGAGACAGGAACAGGAAGGGGCACAGATGCCCTGAGTTCAAAATTGTGTAACTTGTGGATATGCTATATGCCTATCTGCCCACTTTTCTTCTACTGCTCTAGGGGAGGCCAGGCCCCCACTGGATGTCACAGGCCTTGGGGGCAAGGCGGGCAGAGAAGTCACGGGCGGTTTGACTGCTTGGGGGCTGGAAGAAGAAAAAGGAAGGGACCAGAGCACTAAGGTGAGGAGCACCCTGGGAGTGGAGTAGAGGTCAGGAAGCCCTGCAGCTATGGAACTCTCAGTATAAATAGCCACAGACGGAGCTGGCCATTCAGGGGCTTGCAGCTGCAGAGGGTCTGAGGACGTGTGCCCAGGCACAAGGCTGGGCAGCAGCCAAGACAGCCTGTGGGGGCTCTGAGTGGACTCTTCAACCCATCACACATCTCTGGATGCTCTCTGGGCCAGCCATGCTGCTGGGCAGCCTCCTCCTTCTGGTGGGCACCATGACTGCAGCCCAACAGATGGGACAGCAAGCAGGTAGCCATAAGCTGCAGTTTCATTTCAAGCATGATGAGTGCAGCTACACCTTCTTTCTGCCTGAGCCTCAGCCCTGCAGCCCGGAATCCACCACTGTGGGGGGCTCCTGCATCCCCCAGAAGAACCAGCCATCCATGATGCACATGAGGCTGTTATTCCACCATCAGATGGAAAAGCTGGAGAATGCACTAAGGAACAGCACACAGAGGCTGCAGAAGGTATGGCCGGGCCTGTGAAGTATGGGCAGCTTCAGGGCTGTTACCATCAGCAGGTATAGCGTGTGCCCCAGAGACCTTGCTGGGCACAGAGGGCTGGGCTTTAAGGTGCAGAAATTGGGATAAGAAGCCTGATGGGGCAGAGACAGATCTGATGCCATACAATAAGACTGGGCTGCATGAGAATAGGGAAGCTGGCCCTTCACAGCCATTCATTTGGGCTGAACATGGGCCAGGCCCATTCTAGGTGAGCAAACAACAGGGAGAGAATGATTTATCCTTTCTGGATGAAGGTAAGAAAGAGAGCATAAAGAGTTGTCTACTGTGTCAGAGGGTGACACAAAGGGAAGGAGGGGAGGAGGGTGAGCTGCGGCCAGATCATTTGTGAGGATGTCACAGAGGAGGTGGCCTCTGACACCTGGGGACAAGAGAAGCAGGCATCTGCTGGTGCATTCCCACTGAGGGACACGTGAGTGCCAGGGGTGCAAGGAGGGAATGCAGTCGTGTACTTGGGGACAGTGAGGCCTGAGCACCTTGGGTGGAGAGGGCAGAGGGAATGATTCTTTTGGGAGTGAATCATCTATGCTGATGAATCAGACGCAAAGAGGCAGAGAACAACAGTCAAGGGCCACAGCAGTGTGGGTCAGGGCCAGGGCTCCTGAGGGATCCTGTTATTGTCCTTGTCCTTCAGTCAACACTGAGCACCTGCTCTGCACTCCAGTGAAGCAGAGTTCAAGGAGGCAGGCTTGACTCTGGAGCAGGGTGGGCACAGAGATGGCTGTGGGGTTCAGGGTACAACTTGCTGGGGCCCTAAGTAGGAGCTGCCAAGGGAAGAGGACAGGGCTGAGGGACTACAGGGTGCAGGGTGAGGACTGAGTGTGCTAAGGAGCAGTCAGGCTGGATAGGCCAGCAGACAGGAGATGACTGTGTTCTCTGTGAGAGGTGGAAGGACACATCTGCCCTTGTGAGTTGTTTAAGCGTCATGTCCATTTGGTGGAGTTTGTCCCCCTACGTGAGCATATTTACTGGCATTGTGCACAGACATCCAAAGCCATATGATACCACATGGTGTAATGCAATGGAAGTGGAACTGCGGAAAGATGATGTAGGAAGCTATATAAATGGAAGTTCTGGGAGACCCCCCCCCCCGCCCATTTTCCTAAAGATCCTCTCATGCACTCGCTGCATTTATCCATCCCCAGGGTGGAAGGCTTGCTGGATCTAATCTTGCCTTTGTACACATAGCCCTGTGTGAGCACATGCTGATACCTGTCCCTGCTCCTGCCCAGCCACTGCTCTCTGCCTCTCCCTCACACCTTTCCACCATCCCTCACCCACATGCCCTCCATTCCCCCTCACCTACTCTCATCCCCCTGGAGGGTGCACTTGGCCTCCCAGTTGAATGGGCTCCAGGCTGCACTGGAATCTGTATTCATCTCCTTCGACCACTGTTCCTAAGTCCCCTGATAAATCCCAAGTATGGCCTTCTCCTCCAGCCCCATCTTCACCTGCCTGTCCCCACCTCAGGAAGAGTTCTGCAAATGAGACTTGGAGGCTGTGGAGACCACTGTGCACCCACCAAGGCCCACACCTTCTTTTTTGGGCTCCTAGGGAAGGAGTCTGTCCTTGTGTACAGGCCACTCCTTGCTCCCAGGGTGTAGATCTGTTCCTTGTACCGCCCCCCACCCCCAGTCTCCTGCAGCAGTACCCCTCCACCCCCACATCTCCTGGACTTCTCTCTGTAGGTCCTTTCTGGGAAGACCCCAGTGTCTTCCATGATAGAAAAGAAGAAAGCAGAAGGACAGAAGAAGGGAGGGATGGGGGAACAGGAACCTCTTCCCAGGTCACGGGAGGCCACAGGCTCTGCCTCTCTTCTCCACTGCCATTTACTTTGTGTCCTAAGTCCACTTCAGTGCCCAAATTCAACAGCCCCAGCTCTAGCTTCATCTTCCCTGACTATTAGCAAACTTAACGTTAGTGACCAACACCATCCTTCCGGGAGCTGTCCCCCCTTAGCCACCCTGTGGACAAACTGCCTCTGTCTTCTGCCTGCTGCCTCCCCTGGCCCCAGATTCAGATGGATTTCATGAAGCAGCTCTGCTATCAGGCCTGATGTCACCAGATGACACAAGGTAATGTTGGATGCCAACAGTTGACACTGCCACTCCTGGCCATCACTGTTTGATGCCAGTTTGTGCTGATATCATAGGTCAACTATATAGGGTGCTGGCCTTTGTTGGCTGCATTTCTCTTATTTTGGAAATGACTGATCTGTCTACACTACTCTGAATAAAAACCCCAAGTAGATTTCCAGGACTTTGGAGCCCACACTGCCCTTTCACAGGAACTCCAAAGTGAGTCTTAATTGTAACATGGGACTGTGCTATAGCATGGGAGCCTGTACACAGGAGGGAGCCTTCCCAGATTAAAATCCAAGAAGGGGCTGGGAAGTGTTGCTTGTATAGCAGATACAGGCCTATTTCAATGGAGGTGAGTGCTGAAAACTTGCTATGAATGCTGGGGATGCAAGTAAGAGGCTTAGATCCTTCCCTTCAAGATAGTAGCCACTGCAGGATGCCCTCATCCCTTCTTCAAAAATGCAACAGTATTCTCAGAAAGTGGCAGGAGTGATGGAGGGCCTGACTACACTCATGTTAGAGTGGAGAATGGTGCTTTGATAACCAGGGAGGACACTGAAGCAAATGGAGATACAAGGGGGAGCAAAGGGAAACAAGGAGGGAGGAGCAGACAGCTGCTGGCCAAGCCTCCCCTCTCCTCCAGGCACTTCTGGGTTTCACACCCAACCTCCAGCAAGGTCCACATTAAATCCTAAGTCAGAGCTCCCAACTCAACAGAATAAGAGTAAAATCCTGCATCCCTGGGAAGCCCTCTCCTAGACACCCATGTACCTCACCATGTCATCCAGGCCTTTGATCACATATCACTTCTCCGAGAGGCCCTCCCTCTCTGCCATAGTTATACTGGCCTGTCACCCTGACTCCTTCACTGCTGCTAATTTCCTAACACAGGTCACTATGTGATGGTCTCAAAAGCATTTACCCTTGGATGTGGGTCTTGGGATCCAAGAGGGCAGGGACCAAATCTGTTTTGCTCACTCCAGGTCCCCAGTCTCTCAACATCACTGTCACAGAGCACATGCTGGAGAAATCTCTGTTAAGTGAACAGATACATGAGCATCCTTCTATTCTCAGGCCATCTGCAGTAACACCAATTGGCATCGGATGGGATCCTGAGCCCCAAACTCCTAGCACTAATGCCTCAGAATCCTCCCCCAGAGTCCACAGGACCCCAAGTGCAGAGCTGCTGAGCTCCCCTCCCTCCCCCTTGGTGTGCTCTTCTCCTCCCCCTCTTAGGAATTCACAGCTGCCTGAGGTGCCAGAGTCTCCTCTGCCATCACCTCACCCCAGACAGCCGGTCCCTCTTCCCTGTGGCCTTGGCTTCTTCTGTCTTCTCCTGTCTCTCCTTGTCCTTCTCCTGCGCTGGCTCAGGCCTCTCCCCTCTCCTGGGACACAGCCATCCATGCATGCTTGGCTTCCTGTCCAAAGCCTCTCCTGTCCCTCTCTGGGTCCCCTGGGTGCCTGGCTGTTGGGAACTTTGGCTGAGCCCTGGGAAGGATTTCACCTGATGGCCTTGCGGGCCAGAAGGTCCCCTGTCCCAAATATTCAGCCCAAAGCGCAGTGTCCTCTCTAAGTGTCCCCCACCTAGCCTGGCAGTCCTGGGCAGGGGTCTCATCATCTGGAGCATGGAAGGTCTGAAGAGCACTGATGTGGGAGTCCACCCAACCCAAGTTCACATCTGGCCCTGGCACTTACCTGTTGCTTGGCCATGGATGAACCAGTCTCAGTTTCCCTGTCTGTAACGTGGAGAACATATGCAAGGGGTGGCTGGGGACACGCTGCTCTCAGCCTGCTCGTGGCTACACTCATCATAAGGACACAGGTGTCTCTCTGGGGCAGGACTGAGGGGCTCAGTTCCACTCATCGCTGCTTGAGCCCCTGCACCTGTGACCTCAGGTTTAGGCAGCGTTGGTCACACAGTCCAAGACTCACAGGCATCCTGGGACTTAGAATGTCACCAATCCATGTCTGTGTCCTCAACGGGTCCCCAGTCCTGCCAATCTCTGGTGGGATCCAGACAGTCATCTGTTGCACTATCTCCTGGAAAGGGGCTCCTTGGGTTGAGTGCCCCCTGCATGCCCCTTGGCATTGGTGTCCCTGCAGGGTCACCCTGTGCCTGTGGAGACTGCCTCAGGTCAGACGTGCAGGCCTGAGCTCACCTAGTTGTCACTCTCCTGGGGCCTGTCACCAGCTTGGGCAGCAGCAGGGCCTGGAAAGTGAGAGCTGCACACTGCAGCCCAGTGTGAGCATTTGAGCCCCAGTTCTGCCCCTTCCCAGCTGTGCCATGGGGCAAATTGCTTCACCTCTCTGAACATCAGTTTCCTCTATAAAATGAGGTGACACTAGTACCTACCTCTGAGGATTTACCCAGACAATGGCCAGAAAGTGCTTGGCCCAGGATAGGCATATAGCAAATGCTCAGTAAATATGGACTCTCCCTGGAAATAGACATGGATCCTGCAATTCTGAGGTCTTCTCTCTGCCCTCAGTTGGCTCCTTTTTCCCACCTTCTCCCCCTCTAGCTCTCCCCAGCCTGGCAGGGATACTCGCTGCCTACTCACTGCTAGGGCCTTGAGAGTCCTCTCAGTCTGGGCGTATCACAGAGCCTCTGCAACTCAAAGCTACCTTCTTGGGGTCTGCTGTAATCTCCTACAAAGGAGAGGAATGAGTATCAGAACATTGTCTAACATTGTCTTCATCACCACCACTGAGCTCTCAGCAAGACCTGTGTGTCTGGGGAGGTGCAGGGAGACTCTCCCTGCTGTAAGCTCCCAGCTGCCAATGCCTGCTTGGTCCATGACCCCGACTCCTCTCCTGTTCCCCCAGTGTCCAGATGAGGAAACTGAGGCAGAGAGGGGAAGTGAA